CCCACTAATACACACTTTATTCCCACCACACAGCCCCCCCGAGCACCTCACCAGCTTCCTCTGGGAGTTCAGACCTTCCAGGGGAGATCTAGTACTCGCCAGCTCTGATTTAGCATTTCATCAATTTCCTATTCAAGATATTCAGCTTTGAGGGAAAGCAGCAAAATCCAATTTATTTTTCTTAAGAAATTGAGAAAGAGTTCAAAGTTTATCCTTTCAGTTCTCCAGAGGATTAACAGCAGGTTTTAAGAATTATTTTTTTTAAAATATCAAGTTAAAATTCCACATAGCGCACCTCCATTTCAGTATCTCTTCTTTTAACACAGATAAAACAGTACACGAGACTAGCTCGCATGGAGCAAGCCAAGCCTTGCAAAGCGTGGATTACTGCTAAAGAGCTGAGAGCTTCCAGGACATGTGGCTGTTCCCAGGCTGCAGGCCCAGCCTTGGGAGCACTGCTTTCACCAAAAAAATTCCTCTGTGAGGAAAATGAGCTGCAGCAATCGTTGCTGCAGCAAGTGGCTGGCCTTACCCCGAAATCAACAGGCAAAGCTGGGTAAGGTTCGTTAGTTGGGTCTTATGTGACACCCAAAATGAGCAGCAAAGCAGTTTTAGGGCCACTGAACCCTGAATTGTGCTTTAGGTGGGCAATTTGTAGGGCTCAGCTCCCGGGTACCTCTTCCTTGAAGAATTAATTCCGTTTCCTGCCTTTCCTGGCAGAAGGTGCTTCTGCTACTGGAGAAGTGGCCAAAGCCAAACCCACAGCAGTAGCAGGAACAGTTTTGGAACAGCCTCCCTGGGATCACCAGCACTATTCCTCACAGCCAGGCTCTTCTCTGGACATATTTCAATCTAGTAAGACGCAGCCTTGGAGGGAGCTGTAACAGTAAATTGCTGCTGTTGAGAAACCTGGTAACAGCTTTACCACCTGGGATCACTGGAGACAGCCTAATTCTGAACCACCCTCAGCTCCCAGAAGCTCTCCCTACTTGGAAATACCAGCTAGAACTACAGCAGCTGCTACATTCAAGTTACTATAAAATAAAGCTATCTAGATTAAGTAAACGAGGTGAATACATAAAATAAGCAGTTTCCCCTTAGACTGTCTTCAAGAGGCTTCCTCTGGCAAAACACAGGAGGTGGGAACCTCGAGCTGTAATGAACTATTTCCCATTTTACTTCACCACGACACATGAAAACACAGAATCTGAGAAAAATAATGAATACACCCCCCCACCCCTCAACAGCAGGCTGCCCTTTAGCAGAAGCAAGGTTTAAGTACAATGCAGATGATTCAACTGCAATGGTAGTAGCTTCATTTGACTGTATTTAAATAAAACAAAGCATTTAAAAAAAATAACAACAGGCACTAAAATACCCTCCCCTGGTTTAACAGCGTGTGCTAGCCGAGCCCCATGGATGCAGCCTCTCCCCCCACAGCAGAGTGTTGGGCAGTTCTGTGGGTGTCACAGGAGGAGATGTTTCTGCAAAGCAGTGTAACAAGAGTGTTCAGAAGAGTCAGTTCCCAGGCAGCACCCGGGCTGCTCGGCTCAGACCTGCAGCCCCAAATTCCACAGTGTTCCCAGTAAGACACCAGACGAGGAGAGAGTCAGTGCCTGATAACCACAAGTGAGGAACAAGCATGTCTCCCTCCCCCTGCAGCCCTCCCACCCTCCCCCCAAAACCAGGCAGTCTTTGTTTGTTCTGTTGGGCCCTTAGAGCTTCTTCAGGCGACTGTACAGTTCCCTTTTGCTCCTCTCGCCAGCCCAGGTTCGGCTCTTGGTGCGGAACCTTTTCAAGTCTTCTTTAAAGTCCTCGTGGTGCATGGGGCGATAGCTCTGGGGCTCGCAGAAACTCTGGGGGGGAAAGAGAAGCTGGTTTCACTTCAGTGTGTCACACTGATCTCCAAGAGTCACCGACAGAGCCTGGCAGCAACCACCCACCACCAGAATAAACAGAAATAAACCCCACAACTCCATGCAGGAGCTTCATACCAGATGCTCACAGACAAAGCCAAGTGATACTCAGAGCACAGCTACTTCAGAAGCAATAGCTGTAAAACGAAGGACTTTCAGCCCTGTGTACAAAGCTCTCACCCCATTTTCTGGCAGGTGTCAACATGCAAACTTAATTTTATCTTGGATTCACCTTGAAATAGCACAGATGGGAAGAACACTTGTAGCTCAGACCCGCCAGCTCCTGGCCCCCATTGCCTGTTCCATGCTGCCACCTTGAGGCCCTCAGTCCTCCCACCTCAGGGCAGGAGACCCAGAGGCCCGAAAAAACAACGCCAACAAAACCCAAACCCCAAAAAACAAAACAAAAAACCCCACCCCTGCGGCCCAATCACCGCAGGGGACCCAAGCAGATCGAAGGGAGAGCCAAAACCCAGCAGCACTAGGCATCCCAGTTGCCGGGAGACCCCAGGCCCCACTGGGGAATGGCGCAGCCCCACCACAGCATGGCGAAATCTCTTGTATCTCTCTGAAAATGCACCAAGTCCCAGGGCAGAAAGGTAAAGCCAAGACATACTCTGAGGTGTGGGGTCTGAGAGGGACTAAAATGTTGGTTGGGCCACAGTTTTGTGTCAGAAGAGCAGGAAGAGCGAGCTTGGGAAAGAGTACAGCACTGACCAGCTGAAGCAGCTAAAGGGATCCAGGAGGGACCATCCCCACAATGCTGGGAAACCACTGGGCATTTTAAAAGTTTCCTTTACTGAATAACAGGCTGAAAACTCAAAGCTCGAGTTTTTTGATTTTGCTATTTTAGTATAAAATGAGACTTCATGTTTCCATTTGTTACATGGCAATTACCGTCAAGCCTCTCTCCTCTCCTAGTCCTTGCAGGCTTAAGCACTCTCAAATTTCTTCCCCAAATGGCATTTTGAAGTCTTAGTTGTTACAGATGGGCCAAATTTTGTATTTTACTTGAGACAAGTGGAAGAACTTTTCAGCTCTGGCAACAAGACAGCTCTGAAGAACAGAATAGGCTTCAAGAGCCTCACTGTCAGTTATTCGACAGTTAAAAATTCTCAAATATAAATTTGACAGTTAAAAATTTACAATTTTAACTGCTCTCAGTACAGAAGAGCATTGAAACAGAGGAGGAAAATATACCCCAGCAAAAACACTCTACCCCAAAGAGAGGTCTGATGGAGTACCAGTACATCAGTATTATTTAATCTATTGTTTCTTCTCCTCCAAGTGTGAAAGAGATGAATTTAAGAGAACGTTACTTACACGGCATCTTAGGAAGAAGTCCTTGTAGCCCCCCTTGAGGACATACAGCTCTGGGTAGTGGAGGTTGGGGTATTCATTACCCAGCCTGTCCCGCTCTCTCACAAACCGACACCTGTAGCAGGAAAAAAAATTAAAAAATAAAAAATCCTGCATTAAACAAACAGAGGCAAACAGCTCTCACCCATGACTTCCCATTCCTCGGATAACAGAACCTGCCTATCAGGAACAGGCTGACAAGCAACGCTGGCTGCAAAGCTGTGCCTAACTGTTTTTTCCTTTTCCACCTTGAAGCATTTCAGCCCAACTTCAACAACGCCACATCCCTGCCAGAGGTGACAACCAACATTTGCTCATCATCAACTGTGTCTTAAGCAGTGTGCCAGCACGGCAACTGGTGCCACCCCAAAAGCTTTGCTCTCAGCTAGCACAGCAGCAAGCCCTTCTCCCGGGTATGTGGGATAACTCACATGCGAGGACCCCGCTCTGAAGAAAACTCGCAGTGGAACACTACTATCACTCGTTTGTTCTCTGATGGCTGGATTGGCTTCTTAAGCAAGTACTCTTCCACATCCTCTTCCATGTGGAGGTTGACAGCACCCTGTGAAGGCAGAGCCATGCCTGAGCACGGGCAGTGAGCGGAGAACAGTATCAAACCTATCCCACTTCCTCACAAGCCTCAGCTGAGCTTACTAGAGGAGCTCTGGCCATCCTCCCCAGCCGCTAGGAACACAGCTCAAACCCGGGCAGAACATTACAGGTAGTCTAATGTTGATTTTGGGTGACCTGGACCTGTTCCAACAGCCATTTCAACAGTTGTGGCTTGTTGGATTTCCCTTCCCATCTTACTCTATTTAAGAGGGCTGGACAGCTTGTTCAAGCAGCAAACTTCAAGATCAATTATATTTAGGATGGCCATTTGTTCTTGGAAGTCTGTGGTTTAAGTGAAATTTAATATTCTAACTTTATCTCCCTAGGGATCAGGATGCTGGACAGCAAGTGTCATACATCCTCCTCGGGAGCCACCTCTCTGCTTGCCACAAAGGGCACCTCCTCTGCCTAAGGACAGCAAAACATTCCCTCCTTTGAGGGGGGGAAATCACTTTATGAACCACACGTGAGCTCAATGTCCTGCACACCAGGACTGCAGACCCCGGTGAGGCATCCCAGCTGTATCCACATGGCCTTGGAGACTTGCAAGCAAAGAGCAGCCCTGCACGGCACCAAGTGACCCATTTGCAACTTCAGACAACTCTACACCGCTCTTACAGGGTCAACATACCTTGATGTGTCCTCCTTCATACTCATAGGGGTATCTACAATCAATTATCACACACTCCTTGATGAACCTCTCAAACTTCCCAGTCAGCACAGACACAATCTGGAAAGAAAAAAAAAAACAAAACCAACAACAAAAAAAACAGAGTTCAGTTGTTTCAAGATGGTTTTGTGTTGTTCTTCCTCCCAGAAAATAATTTTTCTTACTGTTTCTGGAGCACATACCATTTCTGAGTCAATATATTTTAAATCTTGATGTTTCCCATCAACAGTGTGGAATAAATAACCCTGTAAGACAGACAGCATTTAATTAATAAAATTACAAATGTGAGCCACATAGGCAATACAAAATTAACTGCTGGACTGTGCTAACACAGATACTTTGTTGATAAGAATCTCTTCAGCAAAGCTAGAGAGTTAAAGCTAAGGATTCTAAAATTCAGAAACAGAATTTTGGGTTTGGCTCCTATACTGAAGGCATTTTGTGGATCTTTTTGGGTAACCTCAAAGGAATCTTTCTATGCCTGACCTATGAAAGCAGCCTCTCACCTTTCCTAGGGACCTGAGCACACACTGCTAAAGGAGGGAAGTGCTTTACTTGGGCTGGTTTGAGACACCTCTACCAAGAAAGGCCATTAAAACACTGGTATTAACACTTGACCATTAAATCACTTGAATTACCTTTGAGAAGTCACCAATAAGGTCTCTCTGGTCACTGTCCAAAATGCTTTCTATCTCCACTGCAGAGGACTGCATCTTCACCATTTTCAAACTCTGGAGGAACACAAGTCAGAGATCAACACCAAGCACTGAGAGCAGAGAGATCCTTTTCCCAAAACATAACAGAAAACTCAAAAGTTTACTCTGAAGCCCTGAATTAAGGCTCAGGAGTATGCAACTACTGCAGCAGCTCCTCCAGACTCCTGCACTTTGCAAAGAGAAGGCAGCTGGGCTAGGTCAGCAATTCACCTGAAGGTCTCTCATTAACCTTCATAAACCAGACACCTACATCAGATCCTCTCCTAATCAATTCTCTGTTACAAAACCAGATGCCAAGCCACCAACCGTTGAGTCCTCAGAAGACATTCCAGGCAGGCTTTTCCTCTTCTTGGTTTTTCCTGGAGAATTCTCTTCCTGGGCTCTCTCCATCCTTTTCTGGGTGGTTCTTCCTACAGCACTAGGCACAGAGGAGGAGCCAAACAACCGGCATCGTTTGGCCTGCAAGGAAAGAGAGAAGTTAAGAGTTGTCCAGCAACAATTTAGATTAGAAACTAAGTGAGCCTCAGACTATCACAAATTTTGCTTCATATAAGGCACCACCAGGGCACAGCAACAGCAGGATGTTAATAGGGTCATCTAAATGCAGGATCCACTTTCCAGTAAACACTTGTTCCTTGCTGTGAGGACAGGGTGAGCCTGGAGCACCATAAAGCATATGATGTGCTAGCAGAGTGCTTGATACTAATTAGCAAACAATCAGCAGATTAAGGAGCATTTTACTGGAGTCTAAACTCCCTTCGAAGTCCTGTTATCAGGAGATTGGGCTACAGGCATTCCAGGTAAGTCTGTGCAGAATGTATTCAAGATATGTCAAGTATCTGATAAGGGAAGTCGAGATCTTTTTGCATTTATGAAGTGGTTTTGTAAAAAGAAAGTTAATGCCCATATAGGCACACAATGAGCATTGTTCCACACTGACAAAGTCTTTCAGGTAAACAGGCTTTAGAGATAAGGGGGTTGATGCCATCTCTTGTTTTGTTGTTGTTATTAGGGACACAGGATCAGAGACAGCATGATCAACTGTCCCCTTTCTGTTCTGCTGCGGTCTCACAGAGCACTCACCCACTTGTCTGTTTTCCTCATGACTAGTGGGGCAGTCCAGAGGCTTGCCACATCAGAGGGCATCTCCTCATCGTTCTGAGAAAAAAATAAGAAAGTTTATTCTCGTCTATTTCACCATGGGTAGAGACTGTAAATACAGCTTCTGCACAGCTGGGGCAAACACTCCAGTCTAATTCAGCCATGAGAACAGTTTTAATTTAACTCAATTACTCGTCCAACTCTCAGTGAAACAACGTAACCAAGTCAAGACATGTCAGAGAAGGTAAATTTTATCAGTTCAGTGATTGATTAACAATGGTGTTTCTCCAAAGCTTTAAGCATTTCAAATTCGGTTAGAAATAGTCTTTAAGTGACTTGAAAGCAAATATCACCTCTAGCTCTTTCAGCAAGTTTCTAAAGAAAAACACCAGCTATTCAAATAATTCTCTCTAGTAACACAATTCTCATCGGCCAGTAGGAACAGCAGCAACTCTTAAACTGCTGTTCACACACAAAGCAAGTCCCACTGTCTGCACTGGGAAAGAGCACATGTAAGACAGACACTTAAATGTAAGAGTTTAAAAAGAGGATGATAACTCTGCTTCTAACATTCCCTAGCACCTAGCTTTTTGCAGCTGGACTTACCACACGGATTTCTGCTAGAGCATTTGTGCACCACAGACACGTATTCTTTGTGGACTATTAATGTGAGAGCTAATTTTTTTTAATCGTTATTTCTATGCGATTTTTATCATATTTCCTTTGTACGTACCTTCAAATCTTGATCATCTAGCAGCTCTAGGAACCCATCGTCATCTTCACTTTCAGAGGAGGTCAGAGAAGACCGCTGCAGGAAAGCCGGCCCGTCATTTTCCTGTTCACCCAAATGAGACAAGACAGTTTTAACAACACTCATTCTCTTTGCTGCAGGATGCTGTAACCCCAGGGCTGATGCCAACACCTCTCACTGCACTACAGAAAACATGGCAGTTATTCCACCTCCTTGAACACACTGACTTGAGCAAACCCCAGAGCGAGTTCCACTACTTCTTTTTGATCCCCACAACAGCTTCATCATCCTCATCAAGCATTAAGCCCTTTCTCTGGCAGAAGCTGTCCACTTGAAGGTGCAAAGGAGAGAAATGGGTGGTGTCAACAGGAATAAGAGTTAATAGAAACCCCACAGTGGATAAACACAAGATCAAGAGGATCCAGCAGGACCACCAGATTCAAGGAGCAAAGACAAGACTTAGCCCCCCCCCCCCCAGCTCTGTTTCAGCACAAGGACCCATCATGTCCTTTCAGTTGCTTTTCCTAAGCAATAGGATATGAATAAGGTAATATTTTCTTGCATGTCGTATCCGGGCATAAGATTCAGCTGCATCTACACAGTTGAGTTCATTGCTCCAAATGCATCTGCCTCAGTGTAGTAAAAAAATCTAAATTCCTCTATTACACATCCATGTCCTCGCTCCCTTGATTTACTGCACCATAACCTCGGCTCTGCTGTGACTAATCTTTCACAGGCTACAGAACAAACATGTTTCAAACCTCTGACCATCTCATGAGCCATATGTGAGAATTTTCTTATCTGGCAGATAGATTAATTTTTCTACTTGGCACATGAATGGTGGTGATTAACGGCATTGTCTTAAAATCCTGATGCAATTTTTCTTCCTCAAGCACAATAGATACGCAGAAGATTAGGCGAGAATGAGTTGTAAAAAACCACCATAGTACTTACTATCTGGGCTGGAGATGAATTCTGCCTTGATCCAGGAACACTTTTTCCATGATGGGAATGGTTACGCACAGAACAACGAGAAGCTGGTTTGGTTGGCTTCTTAAACTCAAACGATTCCTGAATTAAAGAGGAGCAAAGTGATCATTTTACCAAAGTTACAAATTGTGTGAGCTGCCAGAATAATTTTATTCTTTGTTTGGGTTTTCTCTGGTTTGGTTTTGTTGGGGTTTTTTTTGCTTGTTTTTTTTTAAACTACCTGACATTTTGGATTTAAGCTCCCTGCTGCCCACAGAAATAGTCTGAAGGTGCATGTTTTCAAATTAAAGATGTTACAGTAGTGATAGGCTTTTATCCTCTCAATATCACCTACAGGCTTAAGGCTTTTCTACTTCTTTTGTCAGACAACCCCCTTCAGATATAACTTTGTTATGTTTGACAGAACTACAGCCTGGCAGAGAGTAAGAGAAGCCTTTTCCACCACACCTGCTGTTGCTAATTCAGTTTCCTTGCTGCTGCCTCTTACCCCATATCATCGCAGGCAACAGAAAGCAACACTTACGTTCTCCTTATTTTCGTCTTGTTCCAGGAGCTGAAAAGCATTGCTATCCAGAGTATCAGAATGGTTTCTCTTCAAAGAAGGACTGGATCCCAGGAGGCTTTGCTACAACGTTCAGAGAAAAGTGCCAGCTCAGCATTGTGCCACAGTCTCTGCACAGCCACGTTTTAAGCAAAACGGGTGTTATTAAAAACTGTAAGGTCTCTGACCCCAGATCAGTGCTAACTACACACAGAAGTCTTTTACGCTGACATGTCAGTACAGGTACCAAAATGCTTCAACTGCATTAGTGATAAAGCCACTTCACTGAAATTTCACGCCAACTTGAAGATTTTGAGTTTGCAAGCTGTAATTCTTACAGTTTTCATTAAGTACCACAGCAACTGTTCTCAAAGCCAGAAAATTAACAAGTTATGGACCATATCCAACTAAAACCACAATGTGCTAAATCCTCTCACATTTATATAATATCAATAGCACTCTCACTTACTGGCAGCGAATGTATTCTTCTGAAAGGCATCCGAACGCTACAACGAAAAAGAACCGAGATTTATTTCAATATTTTGTTTTAAAAGACAGTAACATGAGTAAAACTCACTCCCCCCCCCC